CGCTCCCAGTCGGCTCTGCTCCGCCTCCCGTTCCAAGATGGAGGCCGCTCCGCCCCAGTGGCCCCGCCCGCGACGCGCAGGCGCAAACACTTCCAACTCGGACCCCCGCCGCGCTGCTTCTCGGAACTTGTAGTCTCTTACATGACCCCGTCCGCCCCCGCTTACGCAGGCGTAACCCGGAGAGCCCGCCCCTTCAGCCCGCTCCCAGCCCCGCCGGCGCACTGCCTTCTGGGGCCTGTAGTCCGCTCCCCAGCCGCACCTGGGCGTGAGAACCCGTGCTCGGGAGCCTACCAACTCCCAGAGCTTTAGAGCTAAAAGCAGTTTAGCGTCGCGGCCAGGGCCACCCTCCCTTGTCACCTCTGTTTGGCCGAGGCGGTCATGCTTACCCTTCCCAGGTCCCAGGGTAGGGCTACCAGCTGAGAAGGTGGATGCAAGTAAAAGCCGACGACCACATACCACTGGGCTCTCGGGCAGGGCACTGAGAACCGACCTGTACTGGGAGCCCCTCACTTTACAGCGCAGTCCGCCGAGGACGGTGTCCCCGCCCCCACTTAAGAACTATGGAAACTCAGAGAATGATCTCAGGGTCAAACACCTTAGGGAGGGGCAGCGCTCAAGGTCCGTGCTCTCTAGAACCCAGAGGTGGGGTGTTAGGAGACCCGAACCTCCCGGGAACTTCCGGATTCTGAGCCTGGGTCTCCAGACAATTCCGGGGAGGCTGTCTGAGCATCAGTGGCCTGGGTGGCAGATGTGAAGGATGCGCGCGTGTGTACACACATACAGGCTGACTTGCCGCTCGTGCGACCTCTCCTGACCCATCCCTCCATCCCAACGTCTCCGCTCCACACGAGCCAGGCTCAGATTCAAACCGTCTTTATTTCTACAGCAACATCTGAAAATAGAGAGCGATCGCCGGCCCTTCTGCCTCGGGGGTCGTCATCGTTGCCCCTCACGAGAAGCTGCAGGTGTGAGGGGTCGTGGCGGATGGCTCTGCAGGCGGGGCCCGGGGCGGAGTCAGGCTGTACCTGGGCGGGGCCGGGTGGGAGGGGCTGTGCATAAGGCTGGGTGCAGAGCAGGGCCTGGTGGTGGGAGAACAGGGAGGGGGGTGCCTCCCCCGGGGGTGGGGGGCTGGGGCTCGGGGCGATGTTGGACGCGGCACGCCCCTCAGAGGCCAGGTGCAAGGACCAGGCAATCCTTAGGGAGGCACCTCCTCTCCAGCTGTGGCATGATTAAGGCCTGGACGGTACCACTAGGACAGGGCGCTGGGGGAGTACCGTAGACAGGGTGCGGGGACAGGATGGGGTGTGGGGGGGTGGCGGCCAATAACTTATTTCTCTATATACAGAAGCAACGGCCGGGGAAGGCAGGGTGTTGAGCGGGCAAGGGGGGTTGGGGTAGGGGTGGAAGGTGTTCTAAACTCTGGGTCCTGAGGGTTGGGTGGGGTGGGGTAGGGGCGGAGACTTCTCTACCTTTGAGAGCTGGGGCCCCTCCCACTGTCCAGGCTGGGGAAGTGGCTCTGCTGGCAAGAATAAATACAAACGGGCTGGCGCCTGTAGGCCCTGCCTCTGGGGCTCAGGCTGAGATGATGAGGGGGCGGGTTACCCTGAGATTGAACAGAAAAGACTGGGGTCCTTGTGGGGGGCGGGTGGGTCAAGCAGCGGGCCCATGCGCAGGGCTGGGGACAGCATTAGCCCACGAGGGAGCTTCGCCGGGAGAGGTCCATGGAGCTGGAGCTGAGGGTGCGGCTGTCCGAGAGACCGGATCCTCCAGGCTGTGGGCAGAGGGACAGCAGCTCAGGCCCAAGGCAAAGGCCAGGTCACCTCCACAGTGACCATGCTGGTGCTGGTCATGGCTGGCCTCCCTTCATCTGCCTGCCTCTGTCCACCCCAAAAGCCAGGCTGGGGGCAGAGATCCATGCTGAGTGGTGTTGGGGTGCCTTGGGCACGAGACAGGCAGCCTTGGTCCTGGCAGCCCTGGGCAGGGCCTGGCCTCAGCTGCCCGCTGGGCCCTACCTGGACAGGCTCCTCCGGGCTCTTGTTGAGGAAGTTGAGGGAGCTGGCACGCTTCATCCTGAGGGGACGGGTGAGAGGCAGTTTTTTACCCAGGGTGGAACTGGGGGCCGCCAGGAGCTGAGTTGGTGGGACGGGGGGCAGGCTCACCTGGGGTTCGGGGGCTCCTGGGGGCCTCCCCCCTGCAGCTTCTTCACCAGCATCTCACTGCTGCGCCTCAGGGCGTCCCGGAGCTTCCCGAAGGAGCCGCTGCGCCGCAGGGAGCCACTGCCGTCCTGTGGGGGCGGGCACGTCTGTGCTCAGAGGAGGGAGGGGGCTCAGGCCCCCCCTACCCACCCGGTCACACACTCACCCCGCTCCACTCAGCAGTGGGCCCGGCGTCCTCCAGGCTGGACTCGGCCGGAGGCCCCGCCCCGTCCCGGCTGCTGCGGCGATTCCCGCGCCCCCCACTGCCATCTTTTAGCAGCTCCACCACCTTGGTCTGACTCGCAGGGTCCAGTCCCTGAGGGAGGGGCAGGTGCATCAGGCTTGGGGGAGCCATGCGAGCCTCCCCCCATCCCATGCTCCCACTCTGGGGTCACCACCTGCTTGCGGCTGCGGCTGGCGCAGTCTTCCAGGGTGTGCGCGGCTTCCAGCTTGCCCTGACGTCGGTACAGTGCCCCCAGGCTGCGCAGGGTGGTGTTGACCGTGGGGCTGTGGGGGGCAGGAGGGCAGTGCCAACCTCTATGACCTCCTAGGACTCAGCGGGCACCCAACCCATACTGAGCCCTAAGGAACCTTCAGGCTAGCTGGGAATGGAGCCAGGCCCACCCAGCTTATTATAGTGTAGGGGACGCAGCCAGGCCCTGGAGGGAGTCTGCCAGAAGCCGAAGGGCCAGATCCCCCTAAGGGAATCAGGCTGTCCCCAGGCCCTGACTGGCCAGCATAGAAGGGGGTGGGGTGGGTTTCTGCTGTCCTTACCTATCCACTTTGCAGGCCTTGTACCAGCTGCCGTATTCCCCATATGGGGTGCTGTCCCGGCTCTTATCCTGGAGGGACAATGGTCACAGCAGGAAAGAAGGCACACACACACACACACACACACACACAC